AAAGGTATAGCCTTGTTCAGTGCCATGTTATAAGACACCCAGTGCCAGACCAACTCAGCCATCCCCTGGCTTCATAGAGTCAGAACATATAAGTTGCTTTAGTACAGGTTGAAAGATTAATACGGCTAAAGTGCGAGAACAAAATTCCATTCGCATATGGAAGTAGGGTCAGACCCACGCGCCACAAGAATGGACTGCAGCCTGGAACACAGCGCCATAGACCATCAACCATCCTAGCTTATACAGAATCAAGAAACCATATAATTATCTTCGTGGTGTTTGGGAAGATTATGCAGTACCAGATTTAGGAGGAGAATAAGATTTCTAATTCATGTCAGGAGGTAGGATTCAGATTACGCCCACGAAGATGGACGCGGCCTGGGCAGCGGCAGAGCCGCTCATGCTCTCTGCAACCTGCCAGCAGAATCCAGAAAGATATAAGTTCTTTAAGTAGATTTAGAAGATTGCTGCGGCTAGAATTGAAAACAAAATTTCAAATTCGCATCAGTTCAGACCCATACAAGAATAGACACGACTTGACGCGGCGCCTTGGGTCCGCTCAATACATCTGGCCAGTAGAATCCAGAACATATAAAGTCATTTCGTCTGGAGTTTAGGAAGATTCTTCATACTTCGATTCGGTGAAACAAATTTCCGCATTCACATTATCAGGAGTGATTCAGACCCGCCCACAAGATGGGCTGCGGCCTGGAGCACTTGCCCAGCGCCTTGACCACTCAGCCATCTAACTACTTACCAGATCAAAACATATAAAATATATTTTAAATGCAGTCTTCAGAAAAGATGCATGGCACAAATTTGAAGAAAATAAAATTCATATTCATATAAAGTAGATTCTAGACCCTCACAAGATGGACTGCGAGAGGCTGGGTTGCGACGCAGCGCCTTAGACCGCTCGGCCATCCTGACTTCTTGCAGAATCAGGAAACATATAAGTATATTTTAAATGCAGTGTTTCAGAAAGATTATGTACGGCTGGAATTTAGAAGGAAAATAAAATTTCATATTCATGTCAGAAGTAGGATTCGAACCCACGCCGACAAGAATGGACTGCGACCTGAACGCAGCGCCTTAGACCGCTCGGCCATCCTGACTTCATGCTGCGATCCGAAACCGATAAGTGTAGTTTAAATTCAGACTTTAAGAAAGATTATGTACGGCTAAAATGAAAATAAAATTTTGTTTTAATGTCAGAAGTGGGATTCGTACCAACGCCCACAAGAGTGGACTGCGACCTGAACGCAGCGCCTTAGACCGCTCGGCCATCCTGACTTCATGCTGCGATCCGAAACCGATAAGTGTAGTTTAAATTCAGACTTTAAGAAAGATTATGT